CCCCAAAACCCCAAAACCCCAAAACCCCGCATAGAATTTGAAAGGTTGAAGCAGTTTAAATAATATTCACCATTAGGGTATTCATCTTGTTAATTCCTGTTTCTAGTCTTACACTAACAAAACGTAATAAAACATTCCCCACTAACATCAAACTCCTATACTTCCTATCTACATCTCGCTCACTTCTTCAATCTCTTATTTCGGGCATTACATCTATTTAAATTAGTATGCAAAACAGAACTATAAAGAAGTATATTTTAGCACCCTTGTAAATGAGAGTAACAATTTAGATCTGTCTCATCTAAACATATCCTTTTTGACAAATATAAGCTCTTCAAACCCAGTAAATTTTATTTTCTATACCTCAAAAGGCATCTAAAATACAATACTTGAAAAACCCAACACCTGGTCTGTCTATATTATCCTCCCATCGAACGTATTGATCCATCTCTAGCCATATTTAGGGTCTATATAAGAGCCTATAATACTGGAACCTACTTAAAATAATGAGTCGTTAGAAGTCTAATTTCAAAATTTTGGGTAGACTCCTTCCTGACTTGCCTCTTCTCTCTGTAAACTTGAAAGACCATGATGTTATGCTAGAATTCTGCATTAAAGCTTGCCCATAGAGTTACAGAACATAATTGTAGTGGGCTAGGTACATAAAAAGTGAGGTTTGCAGGAGTCGAATCTGGACTTGTATGCATTGATGAACCACAGCCTTTTAGATATCAGGAAACTTATCAATGACACTTTGATACATCCAGAAATAATTCTGTGTAAAAAAAAGATTAACTTGAGAAGATTTGCAGACATACAAAAGTTTTTATTTACTTTGTTTGAATCATTTGTGGTATCGTTAGAATTTTCTTCATAGTCAGCCGGATACAGTTTATCCCACTGGCTATTATGGTTAACTTTCTTATACGTAACTATAATAATCTATTGATAAATGTGGGCACATGTTGCAACTAAACTACAAATTTTGACTTTTCTTCCAACTTGGCTAGATTTCAGAGCCATCTTTAATAATAATTGCGTTCCTATTTTCTTTCATTTATCTGGGGTTTTGGGGTTTTGGGGTTTTGGGGTTTTGGGG